TTTTCACTAGCAGGGAGATAACTACAGGAAAAGATTATTCGTAGAGAATTTGTCTTTAAACCATTCTGGTTATCTCTGTCGTCTATCTTGTATTCACATAAGGTTCCTATATCAGATACATCCTTCAGTAAATGCCTTGAATCACATGTCTCCTTTAACTTGGCAATCCCTTTGGGATGAACAGGCAAGTGCATTAAGCAGGGATGCTGCACCATTCTCAGAAAAATGCAAATTGGGAAGTTGTTAGCTATTTGATGTTGCTGCACGATCCACCCCCCACCCCCAAAACATCCCTCCACTCCAGTGTTGGTGGCTGAATCGCATGCAGTCCCATGGACTAGCAGGGCTGTTTATATGCAGGCCTGGAGCAGCAAAGACAGCACAGAGACAGATGCATGTCAGAGATAGCAGATCCCATCTCAGGCAGATGCCTCTTATCACAGGCCTGTTTGCATAATTAGGCCTTTTGATATTCACCCCCTCTGACTGACAAAAAGTATAATTGCAGTATCAACTACGACAAAAGGTAGGCACAAAATAAACAAGTCAACATAAATAGGGAGAAAAGATGTGGTGTTATTTTTGTCCTGTGGGAAAAAAGAGGGAGGAAAAAACACAATTTTTAACTAAATCTGCTGTCAGTCACAGTCAACTGGTGTGACTCGGTGCTCACAGGCTGGTCCTGTGAATGCCTGCAAAACATGGAGCGTGAGGCCTGATTGTAATTATGCTGGAACTAATATGCTTTTCAAAATGAGCCATTATGAGCTAATGCTGCACTGCCAAAGCCCTGTCTGTTTTTGTCCCTGTGTCTTGGGTAGTTTGCAAAGGTATGGTTGATATTGAGGCCATGGTTTATTGATATCAGAGCCAGCCTGACTAGGATGAGCACTACTTTGCTCACAGCGAATTAGAGATGAGGTATAAAACACCTGACACCTGCGCTGCTGCAAAAGAGCATGATTTTTCTAAGGATATTCCAAGGATACTTTGATTTTTGTTAAGCTATTGGTACACTTTGATGCAAAGATAAATATTTTGTATTTCATTTATGTAAAGCTTTAGTTTTTTTGTCTTGTTATACTTCACATAACAGTATGGGCATGAAAAGGGAAAAGGCACAAATGAATATTTCCTCAGAGCATACAACAGGTTTTTCTTTATGCTGGTGCAGGAATGGCTTGTGATGGCTTACTTTAAGGCCATCATTGTTTTTCATTCAAAACTGCTTCACAGGTAGGTATTGCTTGTCCTGACTTAGTGTTTTCAGAATCAGGGTAGACATTTATTGCTGTTGTTTAGTGTCATAAATCTGTATCCTCACAAATCACTTGGTTAATTGCTGGTATTGAGTGGACAGCTGTCTGTTTAATCAGCATTACCTCCACGTCTCAAGGGTAAAAGTGGAGGACTGGAGGAGTCCGAGGGGTCGGACAGAGAAGAGGAGGGCTGGAGGAGATGATGGGGAGGGGGCTGATGTGAGGAAGCAGGGTGATGAGGATCCCATCTGCCTATAGTCTGAGGAGTCTGTCTACGAGGTCAGCAGTGGAGCATCAAGGGAGAGAACAGGCTTTAAACCTCTCTGCAGCCTTGAAACTATTAACTAGCAGCTCAAGTCCTTTAACAGCAAGAACTCTGTTTTATCTAAAAGCTCAACATCATTATAGTCACACCGGGGTCTAGGGTCCTCTTTGTTTTTAGGGTTCATTTGTGCAATAGTATGGATTCACCAAAATTAATTTAGTCTGGTTATCAGTTAACTGTTTAATTGATGCAAACATATTAATTGTATTGCATGTTGATATTTAATTTAAATGCCTGCATTTTTTGCAGCAATTTCCGAAATATCTCCTTAAACAGTATTTAATATCTTATCTGTCCCAAGTTGTAAACTTCTTTGAGTATGTAGTAGTGTGCACACAAAAACCTTGGATTTTTGAGTGTGCTGGATGCACAGTATTTTCCCATGATTTAATGCACAAAGGAGATGGAGGAAAGGGACAGCTGAAAATCTCTTGAATGTTGATGAAACAGCTCCAAAATGCCCCCAAAAGCAAAAAAAAGTTACATTACTGTCTCTTTGTGAGGTTGAATTGACAGGTAAATTATAAAGTTGACTGCAAAGGTATAATTCCTTATTAATATGAAACATTTAAGTATGTTGACTTACCTGCATAGTATAATAATTAATCTATAGATTATACTATATACATGCAGCATGTACTATGGATTTGGAAAAAAAAACTATGTGTTGGCAGATATTAGCATCAGCCCTTTTAAAGGTGATCACAGTTATATCAAAGGTCAGTGACTGATCGTTTTCAAATCCTGTATTGAAACCAAATCTTTCATAAACAATGAGATTCATTACAATTTAGGTTAGGGCAGCTTTTACATAAACAATACCCAGTGTTATTTTTAACCTTAATCATGCACTTACCTAGACAAAGCAATGTGTAAACCTCATTAATTCCTATTTTTAATGGGTGCAGTTTTAAATCAATATCAGAGCAAAACCTCAGAGGGCCCCCTGAAGGAGAGTACACGGCAGTAATCATGCCCACTGGATGCCACATAATTAGACTCTAATTGGGCGATAAGTAATGAGACAAGGCATGAGTGGTTTATCAATATCCCATGAACCGCTGAATGGAAATTACCGCACTCATATTATACAAAGGTCTAATCAGAGTGTACCTATTTGTGCCGAGCAGACCATTAAGGAATTGACCCCGACAGCCCTGCAGGGATTTTGTCTGCTTAGACGTGTATTGACTGTTAATGCTGATGTGTGTGAAGGTAAAAAAGACGTGAAATTTAGATTTTAGATTTAGATTTCAAAGTTTTTCCCCCCTGAAAATAAACTAAAAGTGATTGTTTTCTGTCTTTATACCTGGTGGCGTGTCCTGACATATTCGGACTAGTTTGATGCACTAGTTCTTTACTGTAACAACACTAAATGTTTACCAGAAATGAGTGTCCAGCTCTATCTTACATTTTCACTGTGAGCATCCATGCATTTTTTGATACTTTCTTTTCTGTTCACCAAATGTAGATGAGTCTTACATCCAAACCCACTCCCAGTTGGCCCCATGCAGCTTGTGCCATTTCCAATTTTTCCTTACTCATTACAGACAAGGCAGTTGACCTTCTGCATCTGGTTTATGTATGAGAGCAGATGTGTTGGCTCTGCAGGACTTAATGGAGAGCAGCAGTACAACCTAGTGTCTGTCTAGGGTTGTCTGCCATTAGCCTGGCAGCATGCTCAATGTGATGCAGACTGTCAGTTTTTCTTGCAAAATAAAGTTTGTGGAAGCGCCTCAAAGAAAGGGAGGAAAAGTCAATAATCTGAGAAGAAGACTTTGGTGTCTTTCTCAGAGCCCCTTGAGTATGAGTCTACTCTGGCCCCCACGTCTCCCTGTAGGACACAGAGGTGACTTTGGAAATTGATCTGCACACTGCTGGGCTGGTCTCAAGTGTTGTCATGGCGAGTTACCGGGCAAATGGATATACGCATCCTCATGAAAACCAACAAAGGGATATGTAGTGTATGTACATATTCAACTTTGTATGTTCAAGGGTGTTCTGCAGCAGAGCGAGCCTGTTCTGCAAGAATCAATCTTTATTAAAAAGGATAAGACTGAAGAATTGGTTTAATGAATGCGGCCTCATGTCCTGCGGTCACATGTAATCCACAGAGAATCATTGAGCATGAGCTCAGGGGGACAAAAAATCTTCGTAGAAGACTCATGGAGTGGTCTGTAATGATAGTTTCCATATAATCCCATAATTCCTTGTTTAATTAAACTATGGAGCTGGCCTTGAGATTCCGCCAGCTCTGTTGCTCTTTTGTTCTCACAGTTGTTATTTGAAGGCTACGTTTGAGTATTCTTTTGTCCACTTATGTTTGAAAGATTGGACTGGAGAGAGCTATAAACAAAGACCAGAGCTACACAACAATGAATAAGACAGCAGGAACTCACTCAGGTGAGACATTCAGGAGATCATTATAGTTTCCATTTGCCGTTGAAAAGCAAAGGGCCTCTGTCAGAAGTAGAAATCTCTTCATACACTGTCTTCTTCAGTATCTGCCTTTATTTTCCCGCTCCCACACTTTCTGGACTGTGCATGATGCAATCCAACTAGGCCTCAGGCAACACTGGCACATCACGCTGCCTTGTCAATGTCTCAATGAGGAAATTATGAAAATATGAATTTTATGACAAGAAATGAAAAGGGCCATGTAGTTTGAATAGACATGCAGAGGAGGTAAAAATGATGCAATTTTCTAAATTCAGTTATAATGGTAATGTGCAATGGTAATGTGTATTTGCTGTCAAAAAAATTTTTGTCGGCCTGGATTGTGCAGCTTTGTGCTGTATCTATATTCCTCAAGCAAAAATTCATCTTAGCTGAATGTTTAAAAAGTAATGTAAAATATGTTCCAATTCATTTAATGGCAGCAGATGGAAACACTTGGGACTGAATGGCTTTGGTGTGATATTGTGTTCTATTTTATGCACTTTGGCTGCACTTTGTATGAGCAGTGTGCACTGGGCCAATGAGAAAGAAAAGCAGGGTGAAGAGCAGCAAGGTGGCCTGTGCAGATTAACCCCTCTACCCACCAACACCCCCGCTCCCCTTCAACCCTCTGCCTTCACAGCCTCTGGGGCCCCTCTCAGAGGCAGGATTGTATATCAGGGCCTCTTCTATATTAAATAAATATCCACAGATTAAGATAATATTCTCCCAGTTGTATATTGAGAGAGGAGTAGCTGTTATTTGAATCCCCCATGTTGCCAGTCCTTCTCTCCTGAGCAACAAAAGAGGCTCCAAAATGTAAATAATGCCATAAAAGTTATTGTGTTATCAGTTCCAGCTCACATTTGATGCAATTTTCAACAACACCCCCTCAGTTAACTCTCACAAGAGACTCCTTAACTTGTTTTCATTCCATGATCACACACAGATGGCCCACTCTCCTTGTCTTCTCACCTCAGGTAACCGCACAGATGATGGTTCAGATGTAGATTCGGAGCCCGACTTGCCCCTGAAGAGGAAGCAGAGGCGTAGTCGCACCACCTTCACTGCTGAGCAGCTGGAGGAGCTAGAGAAGGCTTTTGAAAGGACACATTACCCAGACATCTACACCAGAGAGGAGCTGGCTCAGAGGACGAAACTCACAGAGGCCAGAGTACAGGTCAGACATTCAATACTAGCATCTGCATTGTTTTCTAAGGTGAGACTGCATCGAAACACTTCACTGTAGTTGTACCTTGCCATGCAGAAGGTTTTTGCTTCTTCGTTTGTCCATGTTTTGAGACAGTTCATCCCTTATTGCACAATGACAGGATTTGACACTCCCAGAACACACTCTCAACAGCTTTTACTGGAACTCTTTTTTTTTTGGTAGAAAGTAGCTCCAATTGAAATGGTTCTCACTGAGATCTGTGGATTTACCAGAGTAACCAGGACACTGATTTGGAAAAGCACATTGCTAATTTAGTTTTTCTGTCTTTCAGTGCTGTGAGCACCAAAAAGAAAATTGGTTTTACCTCCACGGTATTTCAGAGTTCAGAGGAAGCAGAAATATCTCAAAACCTGATCAAATCTGTCTGCATGACTAGATACCACTACAGATGTAAGTGAGGGGAAATAATAGTTTCTTTGTTTTTTGGGTGCGCAAAACACACATGCAATTGGACTTTAGCTATGCTAATTGTAAAAACTCCACCTGTCAACAACAGTGTGTTGTAATAGCTCAGTCTTGATAGTCACTGAGACAAACGTCTGTCTTCTTCTGCAGCATGCAGTCTGTTGTATAGAATCCCATGTACTGCATAGGCCTGGCAGGGCGCTGCACTCCATGAACAGCGAATACTATTAGTCCCACTCCCCTAAAAGGCACAAAACACCTGCCTGGATTCACATTCACTTATTAAAAGTGTGCCTTGTTTTGCTCGTGTAAATGATATATTCATCTGTCAAGTAGATGTCCATTTTACCATTTTGCCTGGTGCATGTAAGGGAGTTTCCTGCTTACCATTAGCCTTCATGTTTGGGTCTTTTGACAGTGATAACTCCCCATCTTCACACCTCAGACCCTGGATCCTCTCTAACAGCCTGGGTGCCCTGTGGCTCTATGTAAGATTGAGGGAAGATATGTACAGTAGAGTTATAGCAGCAGCTGTTCTTCCAAAGACTGAGAGAGTAAGAAAAAAACAGAGAGGGAAGAAAGAGAACGCATTCCTGATGGATTTCTCATTTCGGCCTTTGGCCAGAATCTCATCCCATCACTTTCAAGCGTGCCGCTGCTTGTAAAACCCTCCACATATCACATAGTGCTCCTCATCCTCTCTAGGGACCCTATGCCCCGACAACAACATTAATCAATCCGCCGCTAGTAAAAAAAAAAAAAAAAAAAGGCGGGGGGCCCCCCCCCCCCTTACA